TGTTCACAAGTTTTTATTGTTGTAAGACATTTTTGTTTATTATCTTCTTGATCTTTGCAAACGTAACACTCCAGAGAATAAGCTTTAACAGATAAAAAAAAAATCCAAATAACTGATTGCCTCAATAAAAATGCTCTAAACTGACACAATATTATTATGCAGGTTATTAAAATACTTACAAAATTCAAAAAAAAAATTGATAAGTATTACTGATACAATTAAAAGTTTAGGAAACATTTTTTGGAATTGTATTATTGCTTTTAATAACAAAAAAATAAATTTTTAATAAAAAATAATTATAAATAAATAAAGTAAATATTGTATATTAAACTACACGCCCATTTTAACATGGCGACTGCTAATGGCTGAAGTTCTGATATTTTTATTTTTATAATAAAAGATTTATTTTTTTTTATTTCATTCGTTGTGATATCTTATAATAAAATTTAAAAAGTTTTTTCTTTTAAAATTTTAGGTTTATTTTTTGAAAAATTATTATTTTTGAAATTAAAAGTTTCTGAACTGATTTTTTTTTAGATGAAATTCGTTAATTTCTGCAATTCAGAGCAATTTTTTAGAATTTTTTAAATCAAAATCAAATATATAATTTTTATAGTGATTGGTTATTTTTTTAAAAATATTTTTATTAAAAATATTAATGGAAATAATAATAATAAATAATTTTATTAAAAATTTTTAATAAAATTAGGTAAAGGTGAGTTTCAGTTTTTATCGTGTCTTTAGAATACGATAATTTTTAAAATAGAAAAGGCGGTGTCGAACAAAAACAAGTTAAAGCACAATTAAAGTATGAAGGGAAAAAATGATGGGTGAACAATTTAGAAAAATGGAACAATATTCACCAAAATCATCTCCAAGGGGAGCTCGTTCTCCTGTGGTATCAAGACAGGATTCTACAGGGACATTAAAGACAACAATTTCCCTTGGTAAAAATCCTTCAATTGTCCACAGTGGACCATTTTATTTGATGAAAGAACCCCCTGGTAAGTGAAAATGTTCATACATTTGGTTTTATTTTTTATTTTTTTACACTTTTACTAATATTTAATTTTAATTATATTTATTTTTAGGTGAAAGTGAGCTAACTGGGGCAACCAATTTAATGGCATACAATGGACTTGAGCATTCTTACAGTAAATTTAGTGGCAAAAAATTAAAAGAACAATTATCATCATTTTTACCTACCTTACCTGGAATAATTGATGCACCTGGTGTACAAGACAATAGTTCATTAAGGTCAGTTATTGAAAAACCTCCAATTGGTGGAAAAGAACTCTTACCTCTTACAAGTGTTCAGCTAGCTGGATTTAGGCTTCATCCTGGACCAGTAAGTATTACTTGTAATTAATTTTGTTTTACATATAAAAATGATCTTTAACGAAAACTTTTTTTTATTACAG